AGAGTTGTTAAGGTTTAGATAGGATAAGTATAAGATAAGAATTATATTGTTATATTGGTAAGGGTCATTTTGGGGACCAGGTGTGTGTGTGTAGACTCAGACTCAGAAGTAGGTGGGTTTTGTGTGTAGACTCAGATTCAGAGCAGTAGGTGAGTTTTGTGTGTATCTGTGTGTGTAGACTCAGACTCTTAGAGAAGTAGGTGGGTTTTTTGTGTGTGTGTAGACTCAGAAGTAGGTGGGTTTTGCATGTGTACGTGTGTGTGCACTCAGAGAAGTAGGTGAGTTGTTGTGTGTGTATAGACTCGAAAGTAGGTGGTGGTGGGGGCTACATCTTGCCTTGGCAAGGCAAGGGTCTTAATGCTAGGTGTGATACCTGCCTCCAGTTGCTCCTGGCTGTGAGGGTGGTTTGCTGTGGCGTGTGTGGCACGGAGAGAGCCCGCTTGCCTCTGGCACGCTCACTCTTTCTTTCAAACCCTCTGAGAGTTGCTCTGGGCATCTTCCAAGGGGACACAGCGGCGACTTGTCTCCGGGTTGGGGGAAGGAAGGAGCTCTGCAGTCATCCCAGTGAGCGATGTGTTTTATGTATCGCTTGCCTTGCTCTCTAAGTTCTGCCAGGACGTCATGGCTTTGATGCCTGTTGTGGAAGGTATATTACTTGTTTTCTGTCCAATTTGAAAGGCAACGGGGGCAGGGGGGTGAGTGCAGGGTTTCGGAGATGACAGGTTGAAAGGAGTTTGAAATAGCGCTTGTGGTGCCCAGTGTGAAATTCCAGGTACACGGGAAAGAATAGCGACTGCCCCACAGGCTTAGGCTTTATTTCAAATCTTTTTTTGTGGTGGCATCCTTTCGTACATATGCTCTTCTGTCTCCAGGTCTAAGTATCTTGCCTTTTGCTGCTAGGGTCTAATGCCGTTGTCTTCTTGGAGATGTCGTCACAGGTCTCCAAATTGTCTGGTTTTAATAATCTTCTAATCCTTTGTTTTAGGAAGCGTTGTCAGTGTAAGACACATGTGGAATTCTTGGTTGTCTCTGCAGCTTTCATGTCTGCTCTCTTGCAGTTTGTATTTTTACACTGAACAGAGGAGCATATTACTTAGACTTTTCTGTCTCTCCCAGGGAGCAGAAATGATTAAGTAAATAAACTGAGATCCAAAAATAACTACAGTATGAATAACACCTACCCGGCTCTAATCTGAGTGATGCATGCTTTGCTTGTAGCACACATTCTGTTATGTATAGCATGTATGGAACTTACTGTATACAGTAACTCTAAAGTAGTAAATGAAATCTTGTACCACTAGAAGTGGGGTATGTTACCTTCTTTGACAAGTTAGGGGAAACTGTCGATATTGTGGCAGAATGATTTTGCACACGTGTATGTATGTGCTGGTAGAGTACTCAGGTCCATTTGTTGTCAGGATAGTTTGTTTTCATTGTCCTGGGGTATTTCCACCCTTTCTCTTAAATTGCTTTGGAAAGATTTCTATAGACTATTATTCTTCCCCCTCTTTCCTCCCTGTACATATTTGACTCTTTCATCTTTGTATTTTAAATGATACATTTATAAAAACAAAAATACCTTCTCCATTTAAATTTTCAAAGGCATTATTACAAGGCAAACTGGGCAATAGATCACAAAATCAGACAATAGTATTTTGTTCCCTAGCAACCACCCACTGTGAATAGAAAACAAAACGATAGAGGATGCTTCCACATCATGACAGCCATACATTGAAACCCTAAAGCAGATGAGGAACTACCAAGTATGAAGTGAGGCTTGCTCCTGTTTGGTTTATTTTAATTTCCCTTTAAAATATTTCACTTTTGTGAGCATGGGATTTGTGGGTTGCAGTGAAACAGTTACAATTTCATGTGCTCCTCATAGCTTGATGTCTTTCTTTTAGAATAAGATACACGATTAATAATATTTGTAGAGCTTTGATAAATAATAACAATTCTAAATATTTATCTTTTAAAAAAGAAGTGATTACTGGGCCTGTGAGAACCTGTTTTTCTATTTATCACTGACTCTAACTATTATGCAGTATTTATTGGAAATGACTCTTTTTCATTGTTGTATCTTCAGTATGTTATATTTATAAGAACTTAAAACAATTTTTGGCTTTCATACAAATGGTAAGTAACACCTAGGGTTTTGCTCTGCGTAGTTGAAATTCTTGTGGCCCAACCCACTCCTGCTGAAATAAATGGAAAAACCTGCTACAGTGGGAGCAGGACTAGGTTTTTAATTATTAATCTTTTAAAGTTATCTTGATAATGCAGTAATTTTCCTAGTTTGCGTGTCTCGGCACTGAAATGAAATCTTGACGTTGGACCATATTTTAATCTTGGATGCATTACATGTACTGCCATCTATCTGAAAAAATCCATTAGTGCATGCTGTGGACCTAAACCCTGGATCTGTAGTTACTGCCTATCAGTTTTCAGCTTTTATTTTAACAGGCTTTGGTTCTCAAAATTCTGGCAGTGAGATTTTACTGTGGTGGAAAAAAGGAAATGTATGGTAACATGTTTAATGGGCTGAGGTACTTTTGGATTATCCTTTTTAACAAGTTCTTATTTTTTTCTCTCTGTAGTAGAAAGTTACAAAAATTGTGTATGTGTCAGTCTTTTGTATCATAAATAGAAGATATTTTGTAATGGGTTATTAAGCTGATAGATCACTTTCACATTTGAGATTAGGGAAATATAGATGTTTGATACATTCAGTAGAATTAAAAAATCTTGTATGTATTTGTAAACTATGAAATCAGAAGGAAATTTAATTTGGGACAGTAGTATATTTACAATCCATGCATTATTAAGCAATGACATTCATGTTTGGCATGGGTACTGGATTCCCTGAGTGGCTTCTTGGGATTCACAACATTATTTTTAAAATCGAATATGCTGTTATGTATTACTTACTTATAATATGAAGGTGTGTCTAATTCATCTCAAATAGTAAGATTTTGTAGTATTATAACATGCATACAATTTGAATAAACATGGTTGAAGTTGAGTGGTCAGAGAATATTATAATTCTGTCAAGTACCAGTGAGTAGCTGTTTTCCTATACACATTTCAAAACATATATTTTAGTAGCATAGAAAGTATACACAATTTACTTTTATAACAAAGCATTTGAGCTTTGGTAGCCCTTGCGAGTTTAAAGGAAATAGCAGTTTTCAAAATATTTCTTCACTGTTTTTCTTAGATGGCAATTCCTCTGAAGTTAGAACCTTGTAGCTAGAATAGCCACAGACTAATCTAATTGTGCTTTAGCCTCCTGCCCATTTTGACCCCTCCAAGTTTATACAGCAGAAAATGAAATGGCAGTGAAAAAAGAAAAATGTGTGAACAAAGGACCTAGAGGGAAGAAGATGTAGTGCAGTGCTTCTGTCCCTAAACCGTTAAAGATGGTTAGAAGTGATTTTTGAATACTCTCCATGAAACTCCTGTTATGCCAACTGCTGCTGCTGGCAGGTACAGTGGTGAATACAAAACCTTGGATTAGAACTGCTGTGTAGTTTTATTCTTTGTTACATCTTTGGTATGCTCAGATTAAACATTTGTCAGATCTCTCTTCCACATCCCCTTTATTTGTTTATGAAAGGAAGGTCCAGATTACTATGTGCTCATTTTAAGGCTTTATGTGGGATTTATGTACTGTGGACTTGGCCTATGATTTTCATTGATGCCTTTCTTTAAAGTATACCAACAGAAAGAAACCTAGGAGTCCTCACCAAAAATGAACTAGCTAAGCAGTTATTAACTGAAAGACCTGGATGTGTCCCATCTTCCTTATGCATCTGTACCCCTGGGCATCCTAAAGTATGGTAAGTTTGGGGCTAGGATGTGGGGAATGAGTTCCAAAGCTAAGGGTTCTTCAGAAAGAGTTACTTGCTAGCAGTCTTTAAACTGAGGGGATTTTACAGATTCTTTCACTGATATCACCTAAGCATATTTCACAGAGGGAGAGAGAGTTCCCTTTGAGTAGGCAGACCCCATGCCATTTCAGGTATTGTCTACATGACCATGACAGAGTACTCAGTCATACTGCTGAGAAAACAAGTTGGCCACATCCAGATGCACATGGTTGTGCAGCGTGTGGACACACACCACACATTCAGGTGTTCTCCACACTGCAAGGGAGCAGCGCGGAGGTGTGGAGGGGGAGGTTGACTCCTGGATATCCAGGGAGCAAAAAATACCCGTGGGTAGGGGGGAAGCAGTGGCACATGGGGGGTCAGCATGTGTCACTTGAAATCAGAGTTGGGTTGGCTGGAGCTACACTCCAGCTGTCAGCCAGGCTCTAAATGGCAGGATCACCGCTGCTGCAGCCCCAGGAGGCCGCCAGGATCCTAGGTAAGGCTGCTGGAGCTAGCCTAGTGCTGGCCCCAGCCACCCCTACCTCACCGGGGGTAACTTGCTGTGCACCAGAGGGTGCATGGCATGGGTGTTCCCCAGGGATAACTAGTGGTGGCACAAGGTGCTCTGCTGCCGGTTGTCCCCAGGAAACCAAACATCTGCACTTGTCTGGACGTGGCTGTCCTGCCTACTTCCTTCAGCTCTGTGCATATCATCTTGGAAAATGAGGTAGTGAGGCAGCTTCCAGGACTCTTGAAGCCACCATTTTTGAGCACCATAGAAACCCAGGTTTTGAGTACGGTTCCAGGAGTGTCCCCAGGGAGTCCTCATGACCTCACTTCTGGGATTGAGTGGAACTTATTTCACTCTCTGAGTAGGAATGGGTAGATGGAACTTATTTTCTCAGCAGCTTATTGAGACCTCTGCCATTGTGGTGTGGACAGAAACATAAATTTAATTTTTTTTTTATTTTTTTTTTTAATTGTAGAGTTGTTAGAAAGTGTTTGTTTTGTAGCGTTCAGTTGTCTTTTAGTGGTGTTGCATATTTTATTGAGGGTGAGAGGCAGGAAACTAAGGCTCTGATTCAGCAAAGCACTTAATGGTTTAACTTAAACCATATGCTTAAATTCATCGTTGTCCAGCAAGATCAATATGACTTAAGCTTAGCATGTGTTTAAAGTTAGGTGTTCAATTAAGTGCTTTGTTGGATTGAGGCCTAAAGCAAAAATTATTTTAAACTTAACAGATTCTTTGGAAATCTAGGATGGGGAGTAAACAAAAGATGAATGAAATTCTTAGGAATGCTAGATTAAATGGAGTTGTAGAGAGGACAGAATTTGGAACAATGCAAGCCTAACTGGAGAAAGAATCTGAAATATAAAATGCTTTAATGGAAAGAGAAACCTTGGAAGCAGTAATGCTAGAAGAGACCTAGGAGTGTTACCAGACAGCAGATCACACATGAGGTCAATCTGGTTACAGAAAAGATTGTTTCATTTTTAGCTGATTACATAGCATTACAGAACAAGGAATTTGAAGACCCCTTCTGTAAGACTCTTCAGTGAGTATCCCTGGACTTTCTGAACATAGCATTACAATCATTTTATTGACAAACTGAACAGAGTTCAAAGAAGAGCAACAAAAATACCTAGGGGCCTGGAGGAGTTATCTTAGGAGGAAAAAATAATAGCTAAATGTATAGATTTGGCCTTGAATACAGGGGGCAATAGATTAATAGTGCACAGTTATCTGAAGAGTTTTAACACCAAAGGAGGA